AAAGGTTTTTTAGTAATGCAATGAAAAGCATTCGTTTTCTAACTGCTGTCAGTATTAGTTTGCTCATCAACCTTGGCACTTAGTGTTTTCTAACTATTGTCAGTATGAGTGCTCTCATCAACCTTGGCACTTAGTGTTTTCTAACTGCTGTCAGTATTAGTTCTCTCATCAACCTTGGCACTTAGTGTTTTCTAACTACTGACAGTATGAGTGTTCTCATCAACCTTGGCACTTAGTGTTTTCTAACTACTGTCAGTATGAATGCTCTCATCAACCTTAGCACTTAGTGTTTTCTAACTGCTGTCAGTATGAGTGCTCTCATCAACCTTTGCACTTAGTGTTTTCTGCTATCTACTGATGAAGGACGACTTCCTTAAACAAATCTTTCACGGCTATCTACTGATGAAAGACGACTTCCTTAAACAAATCTTTCACAGCTATCTACTGATGAAGAACGACTTCCTTAAACAAATCTTTCACAGCTATCTACTGATGAGGGATGACTTCCTTAAACAAATCTTTCACAGCTATCTACTGATGAGGGATGACTTCCTTAAACAAATCTTTCACAGCTATCTACTGATGATGGACGACTTCCTTAAACAAATCTTTCACAGCTATCTACTGATGATGGACGACTTCCTTAAACAAATCTTTCACAGCTATCTACTGACTTCCTTAAACAAATCTTTCACAGCTATCTACTGATGAAGGATGACTTCCTTAAACAAATCTTTCACAGCTATCTACTGACTTCCTTAAACAAATCTTTCACAGCTATCTACTGACTTCCTTAAACAAATCTTTAACAGCTATCTACTGATGAAGGACGACTTTCTTAAACAAATCTTTCACAGCTATCTACTGATGAAGGATGACTTCCTTAAACAAATCTTTCACAGCTATCTACTGACGAAGGACGACTTCTTTAAACAAATCTTTCACAGCTATCTACTGATGAAGGACGACTTCCTTAAACAAATCTTTCACAGCTATCTACTGATGAAGGACGACTTCCTTAAACAAATCTTTCACAGCTATCTACTGATGAAGGACGACTTCCTTAAACAAATCTTTCACAGCTATCTACTGACGAAGGACGACTTCCTTAAACAACTCTTTCACAGCTATCTACTGACGAAGGACGACTTCCTTAAACAAATCTTTCACAGCTAACTACTGACGAAGGACGACTTCCTTAAACAACTCTTTCATAGCTATCTACTGACGAAGGACGACTTCCTTAAAGAAATCTTTCACAGCTATCTACTAATGAAGGACGACTTCCTTAAACAAATCTTTCACAGGTGTCTTCTGACTTCCTTAAACAAATCTTTCACAGCTATCTGCTGATGAAGGATGACTTCCTTAAACAAATCTTTCACAGCTGTCTACTGATGAAGGACGACTTCCTTAAACAAATCTTTCACAGCTATCTACCGACTAAGGACGACTTCCTTAAACAAATCTTTCACAGCTATCTACTAATGAAGGACGACTTCCTTAAACAAATATTTCACAGCTATCTACTGACGAAGGACGACTTCCTTAAACAAGTCTTTCACAGCTATCTACTGACGAAGGACGACTTCCTTAAACAAGTCTTTCACAGCTATCTGCTAATGAAGGACGACTTCCTTAAACAAATCTTCCACAGCTATCTACTGACGAAGGACGACTTCCTTAAACAAATCTTCCACAGCTACTCATTCACCAAATTCCTTGTGGGTCCATGATTTTTTTCTTGGTCTACGTACGTGATAACATAAAAGTCACCAAAAAAGTTGAACAAAGCTACCTTTTGTTCAAAAATACACAGCAGCAATCTTTTACAGTAGGTAACTTCTAACGTTTCGACCCATAGTATTAAGATGAACCTTTATCTCAGTGGGCAAAGCGCTCCAGAATGTTTAAATAGGTGCTCACAACCCAGAAACGATACCTGTCTTTACATTGAGACATTCACGTAGCAGGTAACAAGGCTAGTTGCTGCAGTTTAGGTGGGTAAAGTGATGCGTTGTCATGGGATCTTTCCTGCCCTAACGTGATTGGCGTACATATCAGTTGCTTAGAGACCGCCGACGTTACTCTATACGGTCGAATATTAGCCGTTATTACAGGCGTGGATAAACCTAATAGCAAAAGGCCTATTCATAATGCTGTTGATTGGGCCAATATTTGATCTGTTACGTGGAGCGTTACAGTCATCAACCATTACGCATCTTTCATATAAACGTAGTGTAAATATGATAACAGTGACATCTGTTGAGGAATGTGTATATACTAAAGTTATAATATATTGGCACTGCAGTTTTTTTTTTTTCACTTCTAAGCGCAAAACTATACAATTAACTATATCCACCGCAGGGATCAAACCCCGAAATTTAGCCATATAAACCCTCGAGCCTACCACTGAGAGGAGGCACTATAATTAATATCAGCAAAGCGTCTATCCAGATTTTCTAAACGAAACTTAAACTCATGACAAGTAACTTCTAACCCAAATTCGTCATTGACAATTTACACACGTTGTTCAATACCGCTGTTAGCCAGGTGGTTAGAGTGCTCGACTGCCAATTTGCGGATCACGGGTTCGAATCCCTGTCACACCGAACTTGCTCACTTATTCAGCCTTGGGGGTCTTATAATGTGTCAATCCCACTATTCGTTGGTAGAAGAGTAGCCTAAGAGTTGGCGGTGGCTGGTGTTGACTAGCTGCTTTCCCTCTAGTGTATGGACTGCTAGCGCAGGTAGTCCTCGTGTAGCTTTGCGCGAAATTCAAACCAACCAACAAGACGAGTAAAAATTAAACCCACCTTTTATTTCCACCTCTTTTGAATTGTAGGTGTCGTTCCCCATTGCTACTGTTAGAGAAAAAAAAAATCTGCCCTAACTGGAGCCAAGCCTTTCCTTTCCAAATATTAAACTTGGATTGAGCGTGACCTATAGTTATAAAGCTTGGACTGTGAATCTGAGGCTGCATGATTCACATCACGTTGTTAAAAAAAAAAAACCGCTGCGAACTATGGATGCGCGGGTGGTGATTAAAACCCACTATTCAGTCAGATAAAGACTTGATGATATAAACCGTCAACTACCGTATTGGCCCGATTATAGGGTGATCTCGAATATAAGGCGACTCCCATTTTCAGAAACCATAGGGGAAAAAATGAGTGTCGTAACGTCCTTTTTTTTTTATTTATTTAGGTCCGCAAAATCAATATTATAATTGAACAGCCTGCAGGTGGATTAGTTGCAAGAATTAGCGATGACTTGAGCGAACATCTGGCGCGCATCCGTAGACAAATGCTATCTGGAAATTCAACAGGAATGCGACAGGCTAGAGAAGGGGGAAGGGACCCGTAGCCTACCGCGATTGTGAATTTTACATTCTAATTATTAATCACATAATCGGGCCAATTCGGTTATTGTCTTCTCTCTAATCTATCTTTTCAAAATTAAGTACGGTTATGCGCAAATAGTTCTTATGTCCCTTTGCATGAAAATGCTAATTAAACAATAAATCTGTATTCCCTCGTCCTATTGTCCTCAGAATTCAGCATAAAAACGCTTAAGGTCTTTATTTCATTAAGCCTAATCTAGTAAAGTTCAATACCATTTCCTCGTACTCTTCTTTTCGCAAGAGAAAATAAGTTCTTAACATATCCCGAAAGATAATCCTTCCACCCCTGGAAATATCCTAGTATAACCTTCCACTGCACCGTTTGAGAAATATTGATTATACCAAAAAAAAAAAAACACTCAGCAAAGACGTTTTAAAATCAGATAACTGAAGTAAGACTGTGATGGTGTTAATATGGGATCTATGAAGTGAGTCTGTAATATAAATGGTTTAAAATCAGATTGGTCTGTGGTCGAAATAGGTTCCTGAAAAGCGAGTTTTTTGTTTTTTTTAAGAAATTCACGCGGAACTACGTAAGGGCTATTTGCGCTAGCCGTCTCTAATTATGAGCTGATGGACTTCTCTAGCCGTCTCTAATTCTGAGCTGAATTCTAGCCGTCTCTAATTCTAAGTTGACTATCTTACAGGGAAATTAGCTAAGCAAATCACCCGCTGCCACCCTCTGATCCACCGTAATAGAATATCCTGGATTTGACCATCATTCTTATAACGCGTGCATGGCCCCAATGTTCGGAGCGAGTTTTTTGGGCAACGAGATGCGAACCATGAACCTTCATATTCACGGTGCGACACGTTCAACACCTATAGGCCACGCCCGACCCATCTATGGTCGAAATGATGTGGTACAAGAAGTGAATCCGTGCTATCGGAACCTGCTGAATTGAAGTTCGAAAGGGAAGGACTGTCGCAAAATACACGTTACAGAACGGCAGTAGCTTGTTTTGTACTTTAGGTATTTCAGGCTTACTTAAGAAAGCAGGTACTAAAACTTAGTATTTGTGAGTTATGTGTAATTGATATTGTCGTGGGACTTGAAAAACGTTTTAATTTGTATCCTTCTTTTTATTTTATTCTATTATATATATATATATATATATATATATGTGTGTGTGTGTGTGTGTGTGTGTGTGTGTGTGTGTGTGTGTAGTATATATATATAGTACGTACGTAGTAGTAGTTAAGTAGTAGTACGTACGTACGTAGTACGTGTACGACCGCCGACACCGCGACTACGT